TGACTCAGCCGAACATTTATATGTTGAGGGATGAGATTCGTCAAACCCTTGCCAACTTGGATGAGATAGCTGATGTGGAATGTACGTATCGGCAAGTTGTTTATACTGTGCATGATCTTCTGTTTAGCACCTGATTCTGACCTAGCCAGTATAAGTAAGACTCCTCGAGGGTTTGACGTCCATTTACTACATGATGGTAGGACTAGACATCAGAGGGTAAGAGTGAACAGGTCGACTGTGGCGGGTTGTATTAATCCCAGGTACCATGGCACCAGGCTGTGGAGTACACCGGTGGTCCTGTCTACCCCTTCCAGAGTGCCTAACGTTGAGCTCAATACATGGCGTTCGAGCGAAGTAGAATATTCGCCGTATTACTCGCTGTACTCTCCTACAGGCTACTGGTCCGCTTTGGTGTTATAATTGGTATTTATCCTGACCGAGACGATGCGTGTGAACGAGTGTCTACTCATCGTATCAGTGTTGTACCTGATTATATGCATTGTCGGATAGTGCCGGACGCTCGAAAAGCTCCCCTCTTAGTTGTATAGTAGAAAGTATGACGTACCTTCTGCGTTTCTTCAGCTATTTAGCGAACGCATGATTGGTAGACTGTCAGACCTATGTGGAATTGAATTGCTGTTGCGTTCTTGAGTATATAGACATTTTAGCACAAAGCTTTGGGGGGAGAGAATGTAAGGAACGTTTAGACATACCTATGTGTGAATATGAACGTTTTAAAGCTTTAATCTGCACTAAGTCTCGAACTCGAGATATAGGTCCAATGCACAGATTGAGGATGAGATTGAAAGGTCAGATTGAGTGTGGGAATGATTCCCTAGCTATCACACCTGATAGAATCAATGGGAAGCAGTTTCTCTCTGTCTCGAGAAGTTTTGAACCAACTTTGACTATCTTCAACCACTGAGGGAGAACAAACCTGCTAGAGTTCTGAACGGCTTTGTACACATAGTATCCACTAGTATCAACAATATAAGAGGTACGCCGCGTACCCCTTATATTGATGATACTACTGGGACTAAAGGTCGCGTGCCGTACGCGACCAAAATGTGGGTCCGTGCATGACAGTCGCTGTCATTCTTTGATCCAATAATATGAATAAGACACATTGACTAGACTCGAGGGTATTCCATGTGTCGAAGCTCTGAGCGCGGAACAAGGTGGCGAGAGATTGGGGATCATGGATATACCTGTGTAAAAGGAGATAGAATCACATGCAGCAATGGATCTCCGGTTCGCTTGAGCGCCATTGACACTGTTGTACGCGATCTTTCCCGTAATCGCGACTCGTGAGCGTTTGATCGAACGAGACGCAATCATGAGCCGATACTGTGGTTCTGAGCTCTTTA